TAGACTGCAATTATGGATGATTTATTCACCAAACCACAGTTGACTCTTCAACAACACAGGTTTGAACTCTATAGATCTCCTTATATACAAATTTTTGTCAGAATCTGCTACTACTGAAACAGCAAGACCAACCCCACCTATTATTCAGCCTACTCAATGTGAAGACAATAAGGATGACAACATTTATGATGTTCCAGACTGCAAATGTTACAAATTCTTGCTCACAAAGTTGAACCTTTCACTGTATCTAGGAACTGAATTTAGTTAGGGGCCCCACTAACATAATGAAATCGTAAATATGGTTTCCCTTCCTTTTGATTTTCTGATTAACACTTTTCTCTGCCTTAGTTTATTGTGAGAAAACAATATGTAATGTATATGACATGCAAAATATGTTTTAATTGAATGTTTATCTTACCAGCAAGGCTTCTGGTCAACAGTAGGCTATTAGTAGTTAAGTTGTTGGGGGAGAAAAAAGTTATTTGAAGATTTGTGACTGCATTGAGGGCTGTTGCTTCTAATCCCTGCATTGTTCAAGGGTCAAACGTATTTCCCTTATATTCTAAATCTTTGAACAGCATTGGTGACCAAGAAACAGATACCTGCAATTGACTAAGTAAAGACATGATGTCACCCTTACTTATACTGGTCTAGGTTCCGGATGGTTTCCTGTAGCACATCTCTGTAGAGACTCCTCTATGGTGGACCTAACAATGCCCACTCCTCCCAGGTAAAAGTTCACAGCCACATCCTCAAAGGCCACTGAGTCCTGAAACACCCCACATGTGCAGAGGAGGAAAACTGAAACTGACAGCACTGGGAATCTGTACTCACTACGTAAATGTCACATGATGCTGTGGTGACCAAGCATTTATGCAATGACATGGTAATCCAACTCTTACCCTCTTTCTAAACTCATTTTCTCCCAGAATGCAATTCTAATGCTGGAATTAAATGTGTTTGGTAAAATAACAGTGAAATAAGAAAATGCCACTCCTTGGTGAGTTAAAGGAGTGACATCTATTGCCTAGATCGTCCCTAATATCCATTTGTACAGGGTATCTGTAGTTCCTGATGTGACAAAGTCCTCCTACCTAATGGGCAGAAGAGTTAACATCAGCAGTCCTGACACTGCATATTGCTACAAATGCTTGCTCACAAAGTTGAACCTTTCACTGTTTCTAGGAACCAAATTTAGTTAGGGGCCCCACCAACATAACCAATAATAGAGACTGAGTATCCCTTAACTATGTAAAAAATGTGGCATCTGGCCGGGCGCGGTGGCTCACCCTTGTAATCCCAGCACTTTGGGAGGCCGAGGCGGGTGGATCATGAGGTCAAGAGATCGAGACCATCCTGGTCAACATGGTGAAACCCTGCCTCTACTAAAAATACAAAAATTAGCTGGGCATGGTGGCGCACGCCTGTAGTCCCAGCTACTCGGGAGGCTGAGGCAGGAGAATTGCTTGAACCCAGGAGACGGAGGTTGCGGTGAGCCAAGATCGCGCCATTGCACTCCAGCCTGGGTAACAAGAACGAAACTCCGTCTCAAAAAAAAAAAAAAAAAAAATATGGCATCTGCTCCCATGGAACATTCCCATGTTCCCCCTGAGAGTTCAGAATTTTGTGATATGCTTGGCAGAGGGAGCAAACTTGATTATTCACTGCTAGGTTTGAATGTTTGTCCCCTCCAAAATGCTAGTTAAGACATAATCCTCAATGTGGCACTAATGAAAGGCGAGGCCTTTAAGAGGTGAGCAGGTCTAATGGGTTCAGATTTCATGAATAAATTAATCCATTCATGAATTAATGGCTTACTGAATTAATGAGTTATCTCAGGAGTGTGACTTGATGGCCATATTAAAAAACAAAAGGGATCTGAGCTAGCAAATTCAGCCCATTCTCCATGTAATACCTTCAACCACCTAGAAACTCTGCATAGTCCCCATGACCAGGAAGGCTCTCACCAGATGAATCCCATTTACCCTTGTACTTGCTAGGCTCCAGAACTATAATAATTAAATATTGTTTTTTGTTTTTTGGCTTTTTTTTAGGTGTAGTCTCAATCTGTTGCCCAGGCTGGAGTGCAGTGGCATGATCTTGGCTCACTACAACCTCTGCCTCCTGAGTTCAAGTGATTCTCCTGTCTCAGATTCCCGAGTAACTGGGACTACAGGTACATGCCACCACGCTCAGCTAATTTTTGTATTTTTAATAGAGACAAGGTTTCATTATGTAGGCCAGGCTGGAAGAAATAAATATTGTTTTTTAAATAAGTTACTCAGCTTTCAGGATTTTGTTATAAGCAACAGAAGACATATTAAGACAAACATGAAAAAACCATGCTGAGCACTGGGTCTCTTATGAGCTTTTTTTGGTAGATAACACTTTCCACATTTTGTCACAACTTGTTACTTGAGGGATAAAGTCCATCCAATCTGAATACACTACAGAAGAACATTTGGAAGGTGGCATCTGCTTTTCTCTAGACCAAATTTAGTTAAGTATGACAAAAGACTAATGAAAGCCATCTCACTATCCCAATGGAAAATGAAGCTTTTTGTTGGATAGTAACAAAGTAAAAGAAAGAAGGAAAAAGTTCGTACATGTTCTTGGAAAGGACTCAATATCACCTTTCATAAATATCTATGCTAGTCCCTAAATCCCTATAACAGATGTTTTAGTAGTGAACAAAAATTACATTACCAAATCTAGTAAGGATCACAAATGTCTAAAAGTGAGAAAAATGTTAGAACAGAAACATAAAATCTTGCCTGGAATACATAAAGGATTCAATGGTGCAATATGCAAGACACTATTAATTAAGAGATAAACAAATAGGAATAGGAAAGTGAACAATGGCAGGAAAACCTAGCAGAGATTTTTTTGTCTTGTTTTGTTTTTTGAGACAGAGTTTCACTCTTGTTGCCCAGGCTGGAGTACAATGGCTCAATCTCGGCTCACTGCAACCTCCACCTCCCAGGTTCAAGCAATTCCTCTGCCTCAGCCTCCTAGTTGTAGCTGGGATTACAGGCATGTGCCACCACTCTTAGCTAATTTTGTATTTTCAGTCATGGCTAGAGTGGCTGGGATGCAGGGGACCAAGTCCCTAGATTGTACACAACAGAGGGACCTTGGGCCTGGACCAGGAAACCATTTTTTCCTCCTCAGCCTCTGAGCCTGTGACAGGAGGGGCCACCATTAAGACCTTTGACATGCCCTGGAGACATTTTCCCCATTTTCTTTGACAATTAACATTTGGTTCTTCTTGTCACCATAGTTGCCAGTTCCCAATTCATAAGGCTTTAAAAAAAGAGAGAGAGAGAGAGAGATATGGGGTTTTACCACGTTGCTCAGACTGGTCTTGACCTCTTGAGCTCAAGCAATCCACCCAGCTCAGCCTCCCAAAGTGGTGAGATTGCAGGCATAAGCCATAGTGCCTGGCCTCATATGCTTTTATATCTGGTATTCTTCATACAAATATGAAGGTGAATGTTTTCAAATTCAAAGTCTAATGTCTCAGCCTTTGATTGGAGCATTTAATTCAATAACATCTAAACCTTGATGGAAGGAGCGTTTCCACACTGTGTTTAGGAGATGGGAGGGCAAACTGAACTTCCAGAGTTAAACTCATTGGTGTCCCTGACAAATCCCCAGGTTCTGATCCACCGTAGGGCTCCATTTCAGGAATTATCGTCTGCCATCCAAGCTTTGGAATATGTGTGGTCTCCTGAAAGGGGTTACTTGTGAACTATGGCTGCAGCAGGCTGCTTATCTGAGCTAGTTTAAGTTTTTGCCTTATAAAATATTGCCGCCATATAATTCCAGTTTTTCCACACATTTAACAATTTTATTTTGTTGGAGTGTTTTTATCTTCTGCACTGAAAATTAGTAGATTGAGAGATAAGGTGGTAGAAAGGCTTGGCCTATGCAGCCAACAGCCTCATCCAAAACTCCTGATCCCTGGAGGACATCAGGCCCTCTTTACTGCTGCAGTGTGGCCTCAGCTCCCTTCCTGCTCTCAAATCAGGGGACAGCTCCACTTGACAGTGAGTCAGGAATTTCCTGCACAGACTTGTGAGTCCCTGTCCAGGAGGAAGAAGGAGAAAGGCCCCTTTGAGTACAATCAGGACATACTGCCTAAATGCAAATGTCCCCTGGGAGGGGGTCAGGTCACAGCGCAGGGAGGAAGCTAGTCCTGTCAAGGCCTCTGTCTGGAACCTGTTTATCAGACTCTACCCGGTAGATCGCATCTTCCGTTACTCAGTCCCCGGGGGAGGGACCTGGCGCACTATCCAATCAGGGCCGCGGGGCGGGGTCGTGGGAACTGTCAATCAGGCGCGCTACCCGGAGGAGGGTGCAAGGTTCAAAGAGCCCGCCGAGTCTTCTCCACGCCCCTGCGCTGGGCCCCGGGTTCCGTCGCTGAGAAACGCCCTGGAACGTCTGTGGCAGCCTTTGTTGCGCTGGGACCCGCACTGACAGCGGGGAGTCAGAGGGGGGAACCTGGACACCGGAAGCCGGGAAATGGTGAGTGTGTGAGGGCCGGTGTCCCGACGCGTGAGAAAAGAGACTGGTTGGAACCGGCCGGAACCGGCTGTGGTGGCACCGGGGCTTCCCCACCGGCGACACCCTGGCGCAGCTCGGCCCTCGGTCCCTTCGGCCGCTGGGTGGGGCTGGGCTGGCAGCCGGGACCCCGGGCGTCCTGTCTTGTCCCTGCGCGGCGACTGCGGCCCGGGCCCCCGCGCCCTAGATGGGCAGCTCCGCGCCCGCAGCCTCACGTCTCCCCAGACTGCCCGGCTGTAACCAACACAGGTTCGCGGCCCGGGTCACTGTACCGAGACGCTGAGGGCTGCAGCAGAAACAATAGGGGGAGAGGGAGAACACCCCAGATCCGCCTCCCTGAGAGATTTGGGGATGGGGTGTTTAGGGGTCTGGACGGGGGCGGCTGCGGTGTGGGGTCGCAGATTGGTGGGGAAGTGAGGGGTGAATCCTGGGACGGGAGGTGAAGAAACAGCATTCTCCTGCTGAGTGGGCTCCCTTGTGGGGTCTTCAGCCTGCTTCGCGCCAACCTTTCCGCTGGAATTCAGGTTCTCAGAAAGAACTCAGCCGACTCTTGAGCAACTGTCAGAGACCTTGTGAAGCCGGCTGTCAGTGTCTGCTGTGACCTGACTCTCAGGGAGGCGGCCCCAGTGAGGTAACGGGGCTGAGGGCACCTGGTTAATATCAACTGCAATCTCACGTCCCTCCTGGCTCGCAGTTCCTGTGAACCCAGTGAAGAGGCTGCACGGTGACGATGGTAGGGTCACCAGGCAGAATCCAGACTCGTGTGTGGGGTTTGTGGGTGGGAGGAGCTGTGATCTGTGTGGTCCCTTGTCCCTTCTTTCGTCCGAAGGGCGATCGATTCCCCTCCAAGTCTTCCAAAGATGTGAGCAGCAGGGTCTCAAATCTATCACTGTGTTCTCTCATTCTAACTCCTCCTAGGGCCGACAGTAAATCCCTTGGCTTCCAGAGCCTTCCTCAGGCTAACTTTCTCTCCTCAATTCACAGCAACTTTATGAACTATTTGTGCCCCAGTTTATATTTCAAAAGAGGCAAGTATTTTCATTGTCATTTTGTTTGTACATGGCAATATGTGGTTCTTTATAAAAGGTTTTGTGTTTGTGAACATTTCACATGTGAGGAAGCAGAGAAAAACCACCTGGTACTTTGCTGTAAAAAAAAAAAAAAAAATTAATAAATAAAACTTTTGTGGCTGTCCTCCCTTCATCATCCCTAGACAGAGATTCCTTTTGAGAATGTTTTTAGATTAA